TTCATATTATATCCCACCATATTAAGATTGGAGTTTTAAAATGTCAAATAGTAAGATCTGGTGAAACAATTAGTAGAGTTCTCCATACAGTGTTAGCTTTAGTCTTGAAACTGCATCTGATCCTTTTTAGAAAACCAGAACCGATACAAGATAATTCAGCAGACGATAGATGGAAATGGTTTAAGGTATTGTATCATAATTCTGAACTTTCTTTTTAGTTAATTATTAATGCTTAATACATAAATGGATAGTAATAATGCAATTTAACTTTATTTGATGAATATAGGGATGTTTAGGTGCTCTAGATGGAACATATATTAAGGTCAATGTAGCTGCAATCGATAAACCTAGATACAAAACAATAAAAAATGAAATTGCGACAAATGTACTTGGTGTTTGCACACCAAACATGCAATTCATTTATGTTTTATCTGGGTGGGAAGGTTCTGCAGCTGATGGTAGAATACTCAGAGATGCCATTAGTAGAAGAAATGGTTTAAATGTTCCACAAGGTAAATTATTAGGTCATATATATATATATATATATATATATATATATATATATATATATATATATATATAAAAGAATGTAAAATTCTTACAAGTTTTGTATATTAATTTAGTTTTTAAATTAAAATAATATAGGGTGTTACTACATATGTGATGTTGGATACACGAATGGAGAGGGATTTCTTGTACCATATAGAGGTCAAAGATACCACTTGAATGATTGGAGAGAATGACACCAACCTACCACCCCTCAAGAATATTTCAACATGAAACATTCTCAAGCTAGGAATTGCATTAAGAGATGCTTTGGCATATTGAAAGCGAGATGTGCAATTTTAAGGGAAAAATCATTTTATCTAGTGAAAACACAATGTAGACTCATTTCAGCTTGTTGTCTTCTCCATAATTTCATAAGATCTGAGATGCCAATCGATCCTATTGAATCTGACTATACTGAAGATAGTAGGCATGTTGAAGAGATTAATGAAGTAGAAATGATCAGACATTGTGAGCCAAGCAGTGCTTGGACTGAGTGGAGAGACAAATTAGCAGAAGATATGTTTACTAGTTGGTTGGCGTCACGTACTTTAAGATAGATGTTATTTTATGTTATGTATGACTTCCACCTTCTATTTTATCTAATGTTAGTGGTCATTACTTTCATGTCTTTCACATATTTATATTTTATGACATAAACTTTATTAAATTTTATGTATTTCTCTTCTATAAAATTCGAATTTTATTTGTTATGGACATTCATTACTTATGTCATTCACTACATTTGATTTATATTATGTTATTATTTTAAATTTCATTTATGATTAGTATTGACAATGATGACATGTTTTATGTTATGTTATACATTTTTTATATACATCTTCTTAGATTGTTTCGAAGAGAAATATGTCAACTTCAAATATGGAATCTCAAAGGGGGAAAACCACCGACATCTAGAAAGGTTAAGTCTTTAGTAACTAAAAGGACATTGACTAAAGAGGAGGATGCTGCACTTGTTGAATGTTTACACATTTTGGCTGAAGACCCACATTGGAAAGCTGATAATGGAACATTTAGATTAGGTTATCTATCTAATCTTGAAAAATGTTAGAAATCAAGCTTTCAACATAACAAATTAGGGACCATCCACATATTGAATCTAGAGTGAAGCTACTAAAAAGACAATACAATGTTTTATCTGAAATGCTGAATATTGGAAGTGGATTCGGTTGGAATGAAGAAGAAAAATGTTTAACTGCACCAAAGGATGTGTTTGATGATTGGGTTAGAGTAAGTATTTTAATTGAATTTATCTTCTTTCTATACTCTTTGTTATCTACTTAGCTTTGTAAGATTTATTAAATTTGCAATTTTATTATATTGTAGAGTCATCCAACTACTGCTGGATTGAGAAACAAGTCATTTCCATTCTTTGATGACTTTGTTCATATATTTGGAAAAGAAAGAGCTACAGGAATAGCAGCGGAGACAACAGTTGATGCAGTGGAACATATTGATGTTGAAGACAATGCATTTATAGATGTATTACTTGAAGAAGAGGGAGTAAGAGATTATGAATCAAGAAAGGATGTTGGTGCTTCAACTTGCCAAACATCTGATGCTACAGCCTCGACCCCTATAATGAAAAAAATAGCTAGCAAGAAAAGGTCTCGAAGTGATGATGGGTTAACTGAGCTTGTACATGAGATAAGTAAGTTTGGTGCTGCATACCGAGAAACTGCCAAAGAAATTAAGGATATTACTGCTTTATTGAAAAAGTAGGCAGAAGGAAATGATCGAAGAATATCGATTTTAACTGAAATCATGAAAATTGAAGGACTTTCCACTGATGAAATGCTTACTGCAGGAGAGTATATTAGCAAAGATGCGCACAAGGTAGATTTCTTCTTTTCTTTGCCAAAAGAATTCAAACAAGATTATGTGATTAAGCAATTAGTTGAATGCCGTCAATTTAGACCATCATTTTGACTATCGTCCTTCTACAATTATGTCGATCTCTTCTTGATTGTGACTTTAGAATATGGTCCCAACTTTTTTGTGTAGCTTAGCCAAGTATATGTTAATCTTTTGAGTTGAAGAATTTTGTGTGTATATAATATAGCCAACATATATGATTACGTTTAGAATGTCATGGCTATTATCTTTTGTAAGTCTGAACATTGTACAATCTTTTGATGGTTAATGTTATACTTCTTTTTGTTATGTAGTATATGACTTGCAAGTAATGTGCTAGTTTTCGAATATGTTAATTACTTTTGATAATTTTTGTTATGTAGTAAAAACTTTGTCTTTGATAGTTAACATTTATCGCTTTCATGTGTGTATGCATTGTTGTATGTGAAGGTATATTTCCTAAATTATAAAATTCGACTCTATAGCTAAGAAATTGCTTAGATTTAGGCTAGTCCAGTGTAAATAACTAGGACATTTCTATGTTGGGAAGGTGCGCGGCCTTTCATATGCTTCACCGAGATTGTTATCATCATAAAAGAAAAAGTTAAAACCTCGGAAGACCTTTTGTTTTCTCCTGTTTCTACCTTCTGCTACTTTTAGAGCAGCTATAACATGAGTAGTGATGAAAGCGGGATAAGGCAGTCCACGCTCAAGCTCTTGATTGTTTGTTGTTTTATTCAATATGGCCTTGGTTTAAATCTTCGTTTTGCCAATTGCCGATAGGAATTTGTAGCTGCCAACCAAAATTGATTCGATGATTCTTGCGATTATTTTTATTTTGGTCAGCCTACATATTAACTTCCTGTCTTGGTCCCCACAATTACCATTATAACTACCCCTCTTTATGTTGGATAAAATGATTTTATTATAAAAAAAATATCATGACGGAGTTGCGTAATATCATGGCTATTAAAGAAAAAGTTTTGGTCTTTCAAAAATACTAGTGTAGTTCGATACAATGGCACTAGAGTTTGCTAATCAGGAGGTAAATTTTATTAGAGCTCCTATTTTATGTTTTTAGTTAAGAGAAACTATTCCATTGGTTCTCTAATTTATTTAAACTAATGATGGATTTTGGGTTTTGAAGTTTTCATCCACTGTATGTTTTCTCTTCTTTCTTCCAGTTGATCTTAACTGGCGACGAGCTAGGATCTCAAATAGCAAGCTAGATGAGACAATTTCAAGAAAGTTGTCTTGTTATTTGTTGAACCTTCATTTAATTGTTTTTCTCAAGTGTTGGATTTTTGTTAAGCATCAACTTGTTTTTTATATTAGTATAATTTTAATTTTGTTTAAAGCTTCCCATTGTTTCTTGCTTTACTTTGCATCTTTTTAGATACAGGTAAGCTATTTCACTTGTCTTTTGTGTATGATCTGAAAGAAATTATCGGTCTAGTATGTTAAAAGTTTGACCTCTGTCGGTTTTTATATGTTCGGAGAGAAATTACAGGTTGGGAAACATGAATTATTGGGTTGCTTACTTTTTGTAATCAATAATTAAGTACAAATCATATTAGAACCGAGTATTAATAATTTTATTAAAATATTAGCAAATATAATGATAAATGACGGTGAAATATAAAATTATAGACAATATGATTTTTAGTATTATATTTTCTTACTTATTTAAATTATGTTTTTGTAATATAAATTCATGAGATAAATAATAATGATAAAATATGCATAATTAAATATAAATATAAAAGATAAATAAATTATATATAGAAAATATAATAAATATTATATCTTAGATAACAAAAATAATTTACATATTTTTATAATTATAAATATTTATGAAAAATTTTCACAATGTAAACATTTAGTTAAATGTTGATGTAAAATTTTAATATATTTTTACATAAATTATGTAAAATTTAATATTGATTAAAATTAAAATAATATATAATATATTTAAATATTCAAGTAATATATTATCAACAAATAGAATTTTTATATAAATAATTTTTATTTAATATTTAAAATTTTACTTATTAAAAAATATAGAACAAGGATAATTTGATAAAATATACATTCCAGTAATTTTTATTTTAAATTATATTCCTATCAAATCAACCAAACACAGTAATTTAACATTCCCAGTAATCTTATTCCCTGATAATTTTTTATTTTCACTAATAATCTTACGTTCCGTGAATTAAATGCAACCTAAAAATATTATTACATATAAGGAAGGGAGCGTCCACTTTCAGAACAATCTCATTTATCTACCAAAAAAATCAATTTTATTACGGAAAATAACTAGAATATTGCAACGTGCATGCATCCGACGGATAAAATATACAAATAACCGTATTAAAAAAAAAGGAAATTTGATTGATTGATATTTGATGTGTATCCAACCACACCGGTTGACTCCCTCTAAAAACAATAATCAACCGTCCAACTCAAACCAATCGGCCAATACTCACTGATCTCATATCACATCAATCTAAGTTCGGCCACACCCTTATCCACCCTCAGTCACTTTCTCTCTATGAATACTCAGCCCAATCCCTTTCTTCCTTCTCTCTTGAAAACTTTTCCTCTCTCAAATCTCAACCCATATTTGTTCCTTCTCTCTCTTTGATTCCACAGAAATCTCTCTTCCTTCAAATCCTCCATTGGAGGAGCTTAAGGTTCGTCTGGGAAATTACCCAGATCTCTCTCTCTCTCTCTCTCTTTAAAATTTTTTCGTGTGTGGATCTATTTTTCTGTGATTTTGTTCCTGTACAGGCCTTGTTGGTGTTCAGATCTTTGGTTTGTTTGGAAAAAAATTGAAAATAAAAAGGAGTATTAATGAACACCAACGCCATGGGAAGGTTTGAAGAGAGAGGATTTGATTCTGTGGTTTGCCCTAAGCCTATACGTACCTTTAAATGGCCTACCAAGTAAGCTCCTCCTTTTATCTTCTGATTAATTTCTGTTTTCGAAATTTTTTGAAGTATTAATTTTCTTAATTTTAATTCTGGGTGAAAATTCAGTTGTTATAAGAGTGAGATGGAGGATTCAGATGTTGGTACAGATCTTCTCGATATAATCCTCTCTAGGGTAAATTCAAATTTCCCCAAAATTTAAGAATAATTCTGGTCTTTAATTCGTCTTTTTGAGTTTATTTTTTAATTGACAGGGAGGATATGGAGCCGAGGAATCCAACAACCAAATAGGTTCATCGCCGCCGTATTTCTGCGGATCACCACCGAGTAGGGCGGCGAACCCTTTAATCCAAGATGTCCGATTCAACAACGATATGACACAGCTAACATCGGCGGCACCGCCCTATTCTCCATCATCAAGGGGAGGAGGGTGCGTGAGAATGAAATTCGGGTTTCAACCGGCGGCGATACGAGTCGAGGGGTTCGATTGTCTCAACCGAGATAACCGGAATTGCAGCATCTCCGCCGTTGCTTAAATTATAACAAAAAGGAAGACCCTCAAAAGGAGGTGGGGCGGGGATTCATCTTTAAAGAGAAAAAAAGTTTTGATTTGAGAAAGAAAGAGGGAGGGAGATGATGAGAACTCGGTAAAAAATTAGAACTCGTTATTAGTGTGGGGTAGTGTTTGGATTGTAAATATAAGAAGAATAATCACAAATTAAAATGGAGATGATGATGATGATGGGTTTTTGATTATCTGGGATGGGATTTTGATTAAAAAAAAAAAAACATTCAAGAGGGGGAGCGAAAAAGAACATCGGTAATTGCCTTTCTTTTGTTAAATGGGATTTGAGAGACTTTTGTGTAATATAATGTTGTGTTTTTATCAATGACTCTAAATCCCTTGTTACTTCTCATGTAATTGTAATTTGAATGAAATTAAGGTTTTCATTTTGTTCTTATGTGTGATTGAATTAGTATGAATATAAAGTAGTATGGGTGAGTGGAGAAGAAGATTGGATAGGATGATATCAAGTCGGGTTGGATTGGATTAGAGTTTTTTTTTTTATACGATTTGACTCGAGAAACATATTTTTATTATTTACATTTAATTTGATTGGATAAGGTGTTTTTAAATTGATCCGATTCGAGAAATATATTTTTATAATTTTATCATTTTAATTCAAGATAGAACCTAAACTTTTAAGATTAGATGTTAGATTAGATGGGAGGATATACGTTTGGGGCATGGGTTAGTTGTTTAGGGTTATGGAGGATTGGGGCTGTGGGTGAGAGTTGATAAGATCAAAGAAGGGGGCAAGTGGGAATATTGAATTGTGGCTTTTTGAACTGTGGGCTAATGCCTAATGCTATTATTCTATTGGCGTCTTTATCATCGAATCGTGGCACCACTGTCCGCTCCTTCTCATCTCAATCTCTTTCAATCTCTTGCTTACGTCTCTATTGTAAAGCTTCGACCCTCGTGTTCTTTTCAGGGACCTACATTTTCTCTTAAATTTATCATTTTAATTTATTATTTTTAAATATTTTGTTACATTTCTAGAGTTGATATTAGCATTTTAAGAAATTTAGATTAAATATTTTTTAAAATTTTTATGACGTGATAAAAATGATAGAATAGTTTATATTAGTTCAAATAAATTATTATTATTATACTATGACGTTTAGGTTAATAGGACAAATATATTTGTGGGTTAATATGACAAATATATTTGAGGGTTAAAAGTAACCTAATAAAAGTCAAGAATTAAAATAATTAAATTTATAAAATTCAGAGATACTGTTTTATTGAGTTATTGAATATTAAAAAGTTATAAAATAATTTTTAAACTACATGAAGTTATTTTTGTTGACTCTCTCGACTATTAAAAGTTACAAAATGATCACTTGACTATTCTTTATGTTCTAAACTCATCATTTTTCATTAGAATTTTGATGGTAGTCTAAGTTGTACGCTAACCTATTGACTGAGATATGATAAAATATGATATCATAATCTCAAATAATTATCATATATTAGTCAGCATGTTAATATTTAACTTAGACGATCATTAATTTTTTAATAAAAAATGATGAGTTTGAAACATAATAAAAAGTCGAGAGATTTAATAAAACAACTTCTTATAATTGAGGATCATTTTGTAACTTTTAGGTGGGCACATAATAAAATGAATATCTAATATAAAGAAACTCGGATTCCGAGCACGTGCCCACACTGAGGAAGCTTTGCATCCGCTATTGCAACCACGGGTCCATTTACCACGAAAGATTTCTTGTTCTTATTATTTACGCAAAATGTTCAAGTGGAGAATTGCTGGAAATCAGTATGGTCGGGTCTCATCCCCTTCAATATAGAGTGCTTCATGTGGAAACTCATCCATGAAAGAATTCTATCCCGGGTTCAAATCGCGGTCGCATTTTTAGTTATTTCGGATTTACCGTGATTACGGCCGTCGCGGGTAATTCGGACGGCGGCGAAACCGTTATATCGCGGCCGAAATCACGGTCGCGGACCGTTTTTTAAAACCCTGATTCTAACATTGAGCGAGTTAGCTAAGAGGAGTTTTGGGATTGGAAGATCAAACGATCGCGTTTTCTGCTCTAAAAGTGTAGAATCGGTTAGTCACCTATTTTTTTTCTCTTGTGACTTACTTTGGAAATTGTGGTGCAGGTGGCTTAAACTATGGAACATCCAGTGTGCCTTTCCAATTGGTGCAAGAGGCTTTCTAGAATCATGGTCTGATTGCTGCCCGATGGCCAATATAGATCAATTCTGGTTCATGGCTTTCTCTGCAATTATTTGGTCCGTGTGGTTAAGTAGAAACGAAGTTATCTTCAAAGGAAAAACCTTTTTAGGTGATTCAATCTTCGAGATTATCCTGTTAAGGGTCGGATGGTGGTATCGAGCAAAGTGGCCGGAATCTGGTATGTCTACTAACGATTTTATTTCAAACCAGGTGAACTGGTCAATGCCTTTGGCAATCAAAGCGAAGAATACTTCTTCGGAGTGGGTTCCTCCTGCGCCGAGAGTCTTGAAATTCAGTACAGATGGAGCTGTTAATGGCCATCTCAGTCAAGCCGGAATCGACCGTGTGTTAAGGGGTCACAATAGAGCTATTATCGTCGAATTCTCAAAATCTATCGACATTTCAGACCCTGCCACAGCTGAATCATTAGCCATTAAGGAAGCTCTCAAGATTTACTCGGATCTTAAGTGGAACAAGTGTCCCCATCTAGAAATAGAATCAGATTCAAATAATGTGGTCTGCTGGGTTAGGCGTTCACCCCTACAGTGTTCAAAGATCTTGATGCCAGTAGCTATCAAGCTGGAAGTAAGGTGAGTTAGATCATTAACGTTATTGACAGGATTCAGAATTCTGATGCTGATAGACTTGCAAAAGCTGACATAAATTGCAGATTAGAAATGGTTAAGTTCGGCCCGACTGCGTATCAGTATTAATTGCTCCATTTTCCAATTTGTGCACCTTTCTGGTCTAACTGTTTTCCTTATTGATTGTTTGAGAGAGATGAACTTGTGGAGTGTCTATATTTTTGAATGATGGGTCAGGTTGGTTGCATATCTATTATCTCAGAGTGGTGATGCTAGCTGTTGTGGATTGCTGATGGTAGTATCTTCTAGTGACGAACATGGTGCACTCTTTTTTCTCTAGTAGGTTTAGAGATTTTTTTAACGAGGTCCATGCTTCGTCTTGTTTTGTATGATTGCACCTTAATTAAATCATACAAATTTACATCTTTCAAAAAAGATATTGTATGCAAGTAATATAATGTATGCATTTACTTCCATACATACATATATATAGCATTTTTTATGGTAAAAGCAATGAAAATATTGTTTGTATAGTCCGTTAGTATAATTAACTTTCTGTACTTTTATGTGCCTTCTATGAGGAGATATAAACATATGGCAATAGAAATAATTTCTTGTACTTTGCATGAGAATTGACGGATGTATCATTTCTTAAAATTTTAAAATTTTATGTAATTCTAATATATTTTATAAAATTTATTAATAATTTTTTTTATTTCTTGAAATTTTATAATTTAATTTTTTAATATAAAATCTTACGTTAACGCAAAAGAAAATTTTCATGTACTTGGACAAGAGACCCATAGTTTAGCAAAAATGTTTTTCTCTCGTTACAAGATCTTTGAATACTCTGATGACAACTGATTACAAGCTATTGTGTTCGGCAACAAGAATTTAATTTTGAATTTTCTTTAAAAGTCATCCACCCAACCCATATCCCCATTGTCCATTTTCATGTCAGGCAAATCAATCAACTTAGTATTCTCCGGCCGGCAGTCGACGACGTTGTTGGTCGATGACAGATCGTCATGATGGTTAGAAGTATGAGTGTCGAGATCCCATCGTCCGAAGAGCTCATCCCATGTATCCGAAGCCGATGGAGGTTCCCATGACTCCATGACTGATGCCTCGTCATTCCACAAATCTGTAACGGATACTACTTCGTCAACAGTAATTTTCCTTTCTTGGACAAATTTGTACTCTTTCACGGCTTTATTCAATACGTACTGATCTTCCATTGTTTCATTCTCGTTGTCTTCGATGGCATTGACCAAAACATCGAGCACCGATGAAGGCGACAACAGAATCAACGGAGTGTTCTTATTCTCCTCGGCCGCCATTATCTCGAACTCGCGTTTCCTGGCCTGATAAGCAGCGGAAGCTTCCTCCATGGTGCAGTAAGTGCCGAGCCATTGACGTTTCTTGTTGAATGGATCTCTGATTTCCGCAGCGAACTTGCCCCACGGCCTTCGTCGAACACCTGTGGCCATGGTGCAAGATTTTCGACGTCGTTTGCTATCGTTTTCGGATGAATAGAAGGGATCAAATGAATACGTAATCTCCTTGACACGTCGCTTGATACCCTGAATTCGAGTCTTTGTCTTGTTCATCGTCTGATCGTCGTCGCCGTCGGTTGATGAATCCGTAGCGTAAGGATCACTGTATATTACTCGAACCTTCCTGGGAAAACTCGAACTCCGCTTCATGATTTCTCTTCACTCAAAGACAAGCCTTTAGCTTAAGAATTTGCATGACATCGCATTGTCTTGACAATAGAAAGACAGAGCTCTTCCTTCGTTGAATTTAATCGAGGAGCGTGAAGGGAATAAAGGAAACAGAACTACTTAAGGTATCTTTTTGGCAGTCTCGATTGTCAAAAAATACCAGCAACTTTTTTAAAAAGTAGAAAGGTTTAATAGCCATTTAAATTTATAAAATCTATTAATTAAATAAGAATTTTCCATGTTAGTGAAAATAAATAAGTAAAAAACAACATTTTTAATTAAAAACAGGTAAGAAAATTATTGTTTTTGTTAAAAAATAGAAAAAAAAGGTATATTCGACTCCATTCGATAGTTGCAAAAATGTGTAATTACTAGACAGTCGTATCTCCCTGATTGAGGCTAATTTAAATAATTTTAATGATTTTCTTCATGTAAAAACAATTCGTAATTATTTAAATATATTTTACCTAATTATATATAATTTAATTAAATTATTAATTAAATAAAAAGAATTAAAAGTTATTATAATTAATTACGTAAATTCTCTATTATTAATCTCCCATGAGAATGGAAGAATGTAATTAACGTTTAGTGGATTCGTTGATTATAATGATTATCCAAATATTCCGTATAATCGTTATCCTTTTGACATTAAACACTCACGCCCCTGATATTTATGATGTTCGAATTCGAATCCTCAAAAAATAATAATAATTTATTTATCACGGAAACCACTTGATTAGTGCGTACATATATAATTAAAAATAATTATATTAAATAATCTAATTACTAAATGATTTTTCAAATATTTCTAAAGATAAAATATAAAAAAGGTCACTCAACTATAAGTAAAATTTTCTTTAGCATTGAAGTTTCAAACTAATAAAAGAAACACTAATGTTATCCTTTTATAATAAATAGATCATTCCGTCGTTAACAAACATTATCCAGTAATAAAGACTGACATGACCTATTAAACTTGTTTAGTTAACAAACAAATTTTGGCCAATATTTATGAACAAATTGTATTCTTTTACAACTTTCTTCGCTACGTATCTTGTGTTCTCTTCATCGTTGTCTTCCACTTCAATGGCATTGGTCGAAACATCAAGTTCTGATGGAGGAGACGAACGAACTACCGATGAGTTGTTATTATCGATGGCCGCCTTCGTCATCTCGAATTCGAGTTTCTTGGCCCGACGAGCAGCAGCAGCTTCCTCTGCAGTGTCGAAAGTACCGAGCCATATACGTTTCTTGGTGAAAGGATCTCTAATTTCTGCAGCAAATTTGCCCCAAGGCCTTCGTCGAACACCCTTCGGCATGGTGCAAGGGTTTTGAAGTCTTTGGCCATCGTTTTTCGATGAATCGGAGGGAACCATACACCAAGTAATCTCCTTGACAGTTCGCCTGAGTCCAAGAATTTGATTCTTGGTTTTCTTCATCTCTTGCTCTTCTTCTTCGTTGCTGGAGATGAATCTGTAGCACAAGGATCAGTGTATATAATTCGAATAGTCTTGGGAAAAATTTGAACTCGGTTCCATGGTTTCTTGTTCTTCGATCAAACGCTAAACATTTAACGTATCTTTTAGCATTCTTGAATATGAAGAAAAACCTTGAACTTTTAACCAATAGAAGACGAGGGAACAATCATTAAGGAGAAAGGTTTAATTATATCAGATTATATTTAACACATCCACGATGTAAACTTAATGCATTCTCAGTAGTTAAGTAACATAGCGTTTGGTTCGATGGAATCCCTTGGAATTGGTGAGAATTGGAATCCAATTTCACCACTTTTCCATGTTTGGTTCAAATTTTTCAAGAGAATTAAAATCCCTGATGGAATTCAATTTCCTTGTAGGAGGAAATTGAAATTTGACCATACTACCCTCATCAATCCTTTGGTAACTTATTCATATATTGAATAAAAAAAAATTTTATTATTTCGGGTCGGGTCGGGTTTCTAATTCATATATTCGTGTCGGGTCGGGTCGGGTGAAACTTTATTTTGGTCGGGTCGAGTCGGGTTTTTTAAGTGTGATATTCGGGTCGGGTTCGGGTATAGGGTGAAAAAAACCGGACAGACCCGAAAACATATATAATTCAGGTCGGGTCGGATTAAGTCACTGTTTTTATTAAATAAAAATAATTTTTTATTATTTTGGGTCGGGTCGGGTTGGATTTCTAATTCATATATTCGGGTCGGGTCGGATGAAACTTTATTTTGTTCGGGTCGGGTTTTTAAGTGTGATATTCGGGTCGAGTCGGGTCGGGTTCGGGTTTAGGGTGAAAAAAACCGGACCGACCCGAAAATATATATAATTCGGGTCGGGTCGGATTAAGTCACTATTTTTATTAAATAAAAATATTTTTTTATTATTTCGGGTCGGGTTGGGTCGGATTTCTAATTCATATATTCGGGTCAGGTCGGATAAAACTTTATTTTGTTCGGGTCGGGTTGGGTTTTTTAAATGTGATATTCGGGTTGAGTCGGGTCGGGTTTTTTTAAGTGTGATATTCGGTTCGGGTCGGGTCGGGTTCGGGTTTAGGGTGAAAAAAACCGGACCGACCCGAAAATATATATAATTCGGGTCGGGTCGGGTCGGATTAAGTCACTGTTTTTATTAAATAAAAATAATTTTTTATTATTTCAGGTCTGGTCGGATTTCTAATTCATATATCGGGTCGGGTCGGATGAAACTTTATTTTGTTCGGGTCGGGTCGGGTTTTTTAAGTGTGATATTCGGGTCGAGTCGGGTCGGGTTTTTTTAAATGTGATATTTGGGTCAGGTCGGGTCGGGTTTTTTTAAGTGTGATATTTGGGTCAGGTCGGGTCGAGTTCGGGTTTAGGGTGAAAAAAATCGGACCGACCCGAAAAAAAATATATAATTTTACCTTATATATTTAGGAATAATTATAATAATACCCCTCTATATATAATTTTTTCAATTAAGTCAATTTTTTATTGAATAAAAATAATTTTATTATTATTTTGAGTCGTGTCGGGTCGAGTTTCTAATTCATATATTGAATAAAAATAGTTTTTGGTATATTTTTTGGTAACTAATTAACATACTCCGATTGGAATGTATCGAAATATTACTCTATCTTTAGGTAACTTATTAATATATTTTGATTGCGATTATTTTAACTTATAATGTTTATTAGCATGATTTTTATAATTTATTGAAATGAATAATCAATCAATAAAATGAAAATTTAATATTTTTAATTTTTTATAATATATTACTATATGTAAGTTGTAAAATAAACTAAAATAAAACAAAAAACAAGAAGGACAATTATATCATTTTACATTACTGAAATCAAATTCATTTACATGTCTAAGAACCAAACAGAATATAAAATTAGATTCCAATTCCATTTCTTGCCAACCAAACAGAATATGGAATTGGATTCCAATTCCTACAGATTTCAAATCCTTTACAGATTCCAATTCCCTCATAAACATTCTAACGAATCAAACATCACCTAAAAGTTTTAAAACTTTAAGGGTAAACTACATAAATAACCACATAACTAAGGGCCGAGTCGCAAAATGATCACCATTTTCAAATTTACGTCAATATGACCACTAAACTATTTAAATGGTTTCAATATAGTCACCTGCCATTAATATTTAACGGAAGTGATTACGCAGTTAACAAAATTGATATAATTAGGGCGCGAGTCCTTGTAAACTTACGTGTTCACAGCACTGGCATCTTGTCTTGTTTTCTTCTATTTTGGTCACTATTTATATATGATTTGTTTCCTTGAATTTTCATTTAATGTAATTTGAGTCTAATGCCTTAATTTGAGCATTAACTTTAAAATCTTTTATTCTAGTCATGTATTAAATTTATAGATTAAATCCCCTAGATTTTAGAATTAATCATCGAGTCAATTCTCACAGTTGTTATCAAGATAATACATATGTTATATAACTTGTTCAAGTTTAGGTAGAAAATTAAAACTAAAATAACTTAATTGCATTTGAACCCAAAATCAGTTAGTAACCAAACAAAACCTTAACCAATAGGTTAAATCTAATATTTAGGAATCAATTAAAATATTATTTTTATATATTATATATTATAATTAATGATATAAATAAAAATAGATAAGTGGTGACTTAAATCTAGACCAATTGAGAATGTGATAACACTTAAATTGCTAAAAAATCTAATATATTATTTATAATTAATTTAAGATTTTAATATTTTTAAACTAAATTTATTTATTTTTATTTATTAATGATTATACATAACTGAACTCACGAGCACAATTTAAAGTCAAAAAGATAAATTTATGATTTGAATCTTAAATATTTTTTCTTATGATTATAATTTTAATATTAGATTATTTTTTAATGAATATATATCTATATATAATCATTAAAAAAATAAATATGAAAACAATTTAGTTTAAAAATATTAAAATCTTAAATCAATTATAAATAATCAATTTGATTTATTTTAATAATTTAAGTGTTGTCATATTCTCAATTGACCTAGATGTAAGTTCTTACTTATATATAATTGATTCCTAAATATTAAATTTAACTCATTCGTTAAGACTTGCTTGGTTACTAATTTCATTTTGGGTTCAAATCCAATTAAGTTATTTTATTTTTTTCTTCCAAAACTTGAACAAGCTATATAACATATGTATTATCTTAATAACAAGAGTGAAAATTAGTTTAGTGGTTAAGGCATGTGTAGGTTACCCTTGGGTCCCAAGTTGGATTCTCTTCGGTGTTAAAATTCATCTTCATTTATTTTCACTTCAATTCAAAAGATGACATATGTCACCTTTTAATTGGATTGAAAAATCATTAAATTAATTAAATTACATTATACAAAAGGTGAAATGTGTCACAATTTGATTAAAGAAATAAATTTATCAAATTAAATTGAAATATAATGGGTACCTAAAAAATCAAAGAAAAATAAATCAAAAAATTAAAATTAAAAAATAAAAATAAAAATTGAACAAACGAAAAATAAAAATAATAATGAGTTTCCTCCCATAAAGTGTTATTTTTAACGTCGTTAGCTTGACGACCTGATTCAGATTACAGATTCTAAGATGTATGCTTCCTCCACTTCCTGATCATAAATTAAAAACAAAGAAATAAATCAGTAATCTTTCGTTAGTCCCCGGTAACGGCGCCAATTTGACGCAGTCATTTTTCGCGTCAAAATAATTCCTTCTTCTCAATTAATAAATAAAAGAAATTTAACGTAGTAAAAAAAGAAGTAAAGGTCGATCCAACATAGACTAAGGAAACTATCTGATTTATTCGTGCTTTGTTTAATCTTTGAGCCAAGAAATAGATGAAGTAGAATTTGAATAATAGTGGATATTTATAGATAAAGAGAAATAAAATAGAAGAAAGAAAAATAAAAAGATTTTAAAGAATATTAAAAAAAATTAAAAAGAAAGTTTAAAAGGAAAATCAATATAGTAAAATCAACCTTAGACTTTTGCTTTGACTCAATTTCCTTCGGATCATCGAATTAGATTTTCCCTAAAAAATTAACGTTGGCTACTTTGTCTACAAGGACAATCCTCGTGACTCTTCTTTGCATACTGAATACCCAATGCAATCTTTGATACCGGCTTCAGAAATTGATCTGATCAACATCAATTGTCGTAGATCAATCACTGTTTAAGTTCGTGAAGACCGACTCGGATTGTTGTTTCAATAACTACTAATTCCGATCTCAATTCCCTCTTAGCAAGACAATCTTCCCAAGTGTGTTTCCAAGAAATCGAATGTGCTTTCAATAAGCCGATCTTTCCTTCCACACATTTAATCGCAACAATATCTTGACCAAAGTCAATCTTTGATTTTGAAAATTGTTTTGATTTTGAAAATAAGAGTATAGATTGAAAGAAATATTCTGAAGTTATTCAAGTGTTTTTCAATTCTCACGTTGGAATTGAGTCATCGCTTTAACTCTCGGTTTGAAAGAAAATTAAAGAAAACGAAAATAAAAGAAAAATGTTTTTTTATTAAACTAAAGAAAGGATGATTCCATTAGGCTTACCCCCAAAAGGTATTTATAGACTTCTAAAAATCCTAAAAACAAAGAAAATATAATTCCTAAAAACAAAAGATAATTCCTGAAATATTTAAACTAAAATCCTAAAAAACATGATTTTAACTTGAATTCGAATTTCAAAAACATGGAAGATCCATTCGTCATTCTAGAAGCGCTGACTGAACCTTCTAGAATATGTTGACTTATCGCCTCGTCAGATGCGTCATGCTCACTAATCCGATCATAAATCCAGAAAAAAAAAATGCATGATTTCGTTGTTCTTAGCATAATTTCTAAAATTCAATGTCATGCATCAAAAATGAATGAAAAGACCCAAGTTAGCAACTAAAATTATCTAATCAATGAGTAATTAATCATAAAATAATTTATAA